TTAACTATAAGTAAATAGTAATTCGTTGGGTATAGGTTCAAATAATAAATTAGTACTATCTGCTATTGGTTTAGTAACAGCAGCAATTACATCTCCATTTCCTGAAACAAGAACGTTTGCTGAAACTTAAAAGTCAGTTAGTTAATCAACATTGGATCTTAAAACAATGAACCATTTCCATCCGTCTTATGCTCTTCCAACGGTCCAAACAAATGGTCTTTATCCAGTAATTCTTTCAACATTATCAGCAATCAATTATGATGTTGCATCAAAAGGTAAATCATAAACGTTAGCAGAGACTTAGAATAAATTTTCAACTCCATTAATAGTCATTGTTAGTTAGAAAGTTCCACTGATTGGATCAAGTGGTTCTTAAGTTCTTACAACATCTTTAACAGGAGTTCCTCCATTAAATGAGGGTGAGACAAACTTTGGAAGTGCTCTATAATTGGTGGTACCTCTGTGAGAATCAAATGTGATAGTATATTTATATCCAGCAAAAGTTGTGGCAGTATCATCCAAAGCAGCTCCAGTATTATCTAACTTAGTGGCTATAACAGTTACTAAATAACCAGCTCCACAATTTTAAATTGCACTCTTAATAGCATTTGCATTGGCATTTGGTACAATATCCCCAGTAGTGTATGAATAATATAATGTAGTTTATGGTGTCGTCTTAGTACCATAAGTGAATTAAAGTTAATACTTACCTGCTAATAAAGTATTTCCAGCTGAATTATATAAAGTGATTTCAATTACTTCTTTAACTGGTGTGTAAGATGTTGCAATTTCATAGACACTATTTAATGAGTTAGATTTTTTAGTAGCACTCTCAACTTCCATAGAAAGTGTAAGATATCCAGATGACCCTCCATTAAGATGATAAGCTTCAATATAATAAAATTCTCCTTATTATAAAGCAACAGGTTCAGATATAGTTTTGATGTTATATGAATAACTCAAATATTCATACCAATAGTTTTTATATGGATTCCATCCACTTGAAGCTGAAGCTGTATCTGGTCTAACTGGTTTTTTAATTTCAGCGGTTTAAATATAGAATTAAGCACAATCATCTGAGGCAACATAGAATCTATAATTTCCAGTGAATGGTGCCTTTAAGAAACCTCTAAAGTATTATCCATAATATTCTCCAAATGAATTTTAGACATCAGGTTCTGGATAAATACCATCAAATTGAATTCTACTATTTAATTAAGCTTAATTAGTAATGATTTAAGTTCTGAAGGAAGCACAATTCAAATTTAATCCTGAAACATCCCATCTAGTATAATGTAAACCACTTCCTTATATGTAAACAGAACTCTCAGTAGCATCAGCAAGAGTCGGTAAATTAGTTAATTTTGGTATCTTTGCATTGATAGTATTTGGGGTTGATGATAACACTTAAATAGTTTCAGATTATCCTGAAATTTTAACTGTGTTTTCAGATGGAATTGGACTAAATCCATATCCAGTTATTTCTATAATTTATCCTTCTGGCGATGCAAAATTTGTATTAATCTCGGTAATTATTGGAAGAACTCTGAAAATATAAATTAAATAAATACTTTGAGTCGTATGTTCTGTCAGAGTAAACTCTTTTTTATTTAACTCCTACATCATTATTTTGATATCCACTTTATGATTTAATAGTGTAATCATAGTATCCAGCTTTGATTTCAGCTGATACCTGACATACTACTTGATCATCCCAGAAATTGATCTCATCTGGATACTGATCTTAAACTGTGAATCTGTCACATCTGTTTGCTCCCATGAATTGTCCTTCTAGTAATTAAACAACTGAGCTAGATACAGCCCACTTAGCTCTCCAATAACTTAATGTTCTTGGATAATTTGATCTTGGAGTCACATAAAATAATTTTGGTGTATAGTATTAAGAGTAACTATAAAGGCATTTTGAAGCACATATTGAGTCTGGTTTATCCAATACCTTAACGACTATTTATAGGCTAGATAAGTTATTGTCATCTGGATCAGGCCTTGTTGTTTTGCAGTTCATGAACAATCCATTTACTCCCTTATCGGAGATTATACATGGGTATTTACCAATATATACTGCATTATTGCTAGCAGTCTAATCTAATCCTTGAACCTAGAGGAATATTTTTTTTTCTTACCTTCATATAAATTGTTGTTCCTCCCATCACAGAACCTTAAAGGCTTGAATTTTCTTATCCTAAAACAGTTGAAGCAGCTAAAATCACGACTGAATCAGAAGTTGAATCTGTTGAAGAATCCATCATCATGGCTACATTAATATTTGATATGATTACCATCAACATTATTGCTAAGTAGCAAAAGTAACATATTCGTAAAAGCAATGATAAACATGCTAATGTTATATAAAAAATAATGATCTTCTACAAAAGTTTAGAGCCCTTTTATACCCCTTAATATCTAGATTAATCTCAGTTTTAATTTATCACATACCCTAAATAATTAACTGTATCCTGTCCAAATATTGTTAGCAAAACAAGATTAATCGCTAACAACAGAGATTTTCTCCTTATTAGCGTCGACTTGATACAACTATGGAAAGTCTAAGAAACATAATTTAGTCTTTTTTCAATGTTTGTATTAAAAACCATTTTTCTCTTTTTTATTAGGCTTACTAGCATAAAGATGATAATCAGAGCCTGATGTATACATTTTTAAAAACGAAGAGCATGGAAAAATAGAATGAAATTAATTGGAATGTGGTGAATTTTTATTAGAAAAATCGACATAAATAAAGCTACACAATTGTATGGCTCATAGTAGCGTGCTCTTACACTAATGAAATAAGCCAAGAAATTTTTCTGGAATAATAAGAGTATAAAAAGTAAACAACAATTATTGATTTTTTTCCATTTTTAAGCTGCACAAAATTAATCAGCATCTGTGCAGTAAGGATAGGTGGTCAACCCGTTTGTCAAGTTATGAATGATTTGGAATATTTTTTGTTTTTTACTAATCATACGATTAATCAATTTCTTTAAATGAACGAATGCAAAAAGGAGCACCCGAATGAAGAATAGAACTTTTTAGTTAATCAAGGTAGCTTGTTATACTTAGGATTTCTGATTTAAATTTGATTATTGATAAGTTGAAATGATACTTGGAAGATTGTGGCTATTTTTGCTAGTGAAAATTTAATACATGTTAAGAGATTTGAAGCCATTATAAAGTAGTATTGGTGATGATATATATAAGGAATACTTAAATAAATACTTAATATTTATTAGAAGGATATACTTGAAGGAATATCTTAATTGTCAAGTTAGAAATTTAAATATCATATTATTATTAAAACTGATATACATTTTTGATAAAGAGCACTAATACTAGTTTCCTCAACAGTGGCAAGGGGATGATTTCTTTTTATTGATATGTTTAAAATTAATTTCAGAATAAATATACACATAAATTTGACTTGCTCTAATGAATGATTTTTTATGAATTTATTTTAATAAATAAAATCTTAGACATATATATCAAGAACTTTTTGCTTAATAAAGAATGAAATATAATAATACAATAGTTCCTTTTTTAATTTAAATAAATATTGTAAACAATATTTGTTTCATTATCTTCTATTTACTTCTTTTATCTATTCAGCAATATCTAATAATTCCTTTCTAATTTAGGCTTTTTATTTAAAATCTGATTCTTTTTAGGCTTATCTTATTAGTTATTCGTATTTATCATTTAATTACTTCAGTTTGTTTTCGATCTCACTATTTCGAACTGTTAAGGGAGGGGACAATAATTTTTTTTTAGAATGCTACTATTAGTGATGTTATTCTTAAGGTATTATGTTGTGCTGATCAGATTTAAATGGAGTAGTTTATTTCATATCCTCTAAACAATCTTTAATGGCCTATTTTAAAACACTTGATTTGACAAAACTTTATTCAAATCTTGGACTTGTTATTTGTGGTGATAAGAAATCTAAATTAAGTTTTGAAACTTTATTATTATTATTTGGTTGCTAATTATTGGTTTAATATTAATTATTGATTAGCATTTCAAATTCAGGATCATCTGATTAGGAAATGTTTCTCATTCGTTTTTTATTTTGTTGGTTATTTTTTTCTTCATATTCTAATCTTAATTTCAATTATTGATATTTTAAAGTAATATCTTTTAATTCAATTGTTAATTGATGAATAGCGGATTAATATTCATTACTTTTATTCAATAATTCTTAAATTCTTTTAGTTAATTAATCTTCTGTTTATTAGCGTTGCATCTATAACTCTTCCATCATTCTCAAGTAGGCTTTCTCTTTTTCTTCGAGCTATGATCTATAAATTTGAATCTGCTTTTCATACTCCTATAATTTAAATACTGGACATCGCTCTTTATAATCTAGAATATCAGCTTCCAGTTAATGTTTTTCAGTTTACAATTTTTCATATTTCTTTTCTAACTTTTTTGCATATTATTCGCCTGATTCTACTCTTTATCTCAATTCCATAATTTGTTCTTATTATTTTGAGTTTTCTTCCTATTTTTGCTAATCAACCTTTTACATTAAGCCTCTTTCATTAGCTTTATAAGCCTATAATTATCTTTGCAAATATTCAATCTAATTTTGTTAATCTTGCCTATCTTTTTTTCCATCTTCAATCTTTTTTATTAAATCTGTCACTCTATCTTAGTATTCCTTTAGATGAATTAATCTTTCTTATTGCAATTAGTCAATTTAAAGAATGTAATTATTGATGTTTTCTTTTTCACTTTGCTATCTTTGCAATTACATGGTTAAAGTTTCATTCTAATTTCTCAACTCAGATATTTACTATAGCAAATATTCCTCATCGTTAGATTTTGTTTTCGTTGGCAACAATGTGTCAGTTCTTTAAGTTTCCATAACCTTTATTTTCTCTTAAAGTGCTTTCATTGCCATTACATAAGCATTTGAAGAATTTCTATATCCAGAATTTGTTGTATTTCTTTATTCTCGTTAAAACATAGTTTATTTTACAATAATGATTAAATTTATTGCCAGAAAAATCGACCGATCCTCTTCATTCAACAGAGAGGAGCACTAAAATGAAGAAGAATATTTATAAGAATACCCTGTCAATATTCAAAAGCATCTCAACATATCAGACTAAGAATACAGTGTTGAATATTAATTATTGAAATAAAATCCTCCAGGAGTGAGCTTGAAATTGAATATCGGAACACCCAAAATTGAAACACCATCAAAGTTACCCTATGTCGTAGATGAAAGTCATCAAAGGCATTCTTATTATATTAATATATCAGGCAAAAAGGAAGAATGAAATTCTATGATGATGCCAAAAAATATGGATTTTTAGTCCTTGATGAAGACGGAACAGATGTATTCGTTCACTATGATGATCTTTAAGCCGCAGGAATTACTATCGAAAAAATGAAGCTATATAAGATTGTGCATTAGTATTAATCATACTAAGATTAGGAATAATCCTCAATATGTGAAATTTACAAAAAACGGAGGTCCTTACTTTGAATTCACCCTTATGAACTATATGGGTAAATATAATAAGAGTAGAAAAGCCATAGATCTTTAATTATTGAATTAAATTTGATATCAAAAAAAAATTTCATCTTATATATTTATACTCTTAATTTTATTACATTAATCGTACTTTTATTAAATTTTGGAAAAAAATATTGCAAATAAACTGAATCATCATTCTATTTATTCACATTCATAAAATCATTATTTTTTTCAACATGGGTTGTAAGGTTACCAAAAATAAGAGATAATTAAAGGATGTAGATCATTTTATGAACATTCTTGAAAAGAACACCACTGATGATGAAACAAAGATTTCAGAGAAAAATAAATTATTTTAAATTAATAAGAATCCTATATTTCAAAGGAGACTATCTTAAAAAAAAGAGAGCACTCTGACCAAATAAACCTACTCTTATTTGGAAAGAAACAATTAGACTTAGAGTGGTTGAGAATATTTCTGATTCTATTTTTTGTGTTGAGTATATTAAGCTATTTATACATTTAATCTCTTAAGATCTTTTCCAACTAGAAATAGCATACCATTATCAAATATGATAGTTAAATAAACTAAAATATCATTTACTTTTAGTATCCTTGCAAATTAGGAGATAATATAAGAAACGTATATTGAGACCGGCTTTCCTTAAATTCTATAATTGATAGTCTAAGTCCATAATGTTTAGTTATATTCCCATTATTGTAAAATTTACATTAGTAATTTATACTAATTTATCTATTATTAGAAAAAAGAAGTTTATTTGTTTCAAAATTAAATTGTTTTTAATAAGGTATTTCAATTTAATGATTAAAGTTTCATCAAATGATTAAAAATTTCTACTAAATTAGCATTAATAAAACATTTCCAACCAAGAATAAGTTCCCCATTCCCTTCCCTTTTGATAGTAACCTTGAAATTATATTTTTTATCAAAAAAAATTAATATTTTGGATCAATAGCAATAATACCAATAAAAGTGATAGCAGATTATATTGAAAAAGAAAATTATTGATGAAACATAATTGATATTAAGTCTATTATCTGGTATTGTCCTAATTTCTTCGAATTTAGTTCAAAATTAGATATCAATATAAATATTAATTATTGGATTTTACTTTAATAAATTATTGCATTATATTCTTAATTATCTACATTTTATTTTACTTCATATTAAATGGATTAATTATCAAGTAAATTCTGAAGTTTAGTGGGTTTGATTGATTCTATTAATTCTGGATCTTAGAATGCATCTCAGATGCTTTAGAACTATGTATATTTAAACGATCGTCAGAAACTGAATAAACTGAATAATTCATCAATTTATGATTACAACATTAATATAAAATAAACAATAAAAAAATTAAAATGGGATGCGCATAAGTTAAGTAAAAATAGAAAGGAGCTGCGATTTAGTATGAAATTTATGAAAGAGCCGAGCCTTCTGTAATATAAGTGTAGAAAAGATATGATATTCAAAAAAATCCTATAGTTTAACGAAGAGTTAAAAGTCATTCATAAACCCCTGACTTATAAAATAGAACTAAATAATATTCTGATTTACTTCCAAGTTCCAAACCCTAATTTTGAAAAGCCTTTATCAAAAGATAGAGTTATAAGCTTTGAATCTATAAATCTATATTTCTAAATCTAAAACAACATTCTCGACAAAAAGGTCTTAAGTATTTATGTATTTCAATTCTTTTTTTTTATTACTCTCTTATTCATGTTAACATTTTGTTAATTGTATTTTGATCAACAAAAATCAAGGGAATAAAACATTTCTGACATCATCAACATTTTAATAGATTTTATAACAATATATACAACAGAGGCATGATTCAGCTAATTTTACTCTTTTTGGATTGGATCAAATTTGATTAATAATAAACATTAAGAGTGAAAAAAATACGGAAATGCAAAATAGGTATTAATGAATAGAAAAACTTAACATTAGAACTTTTGCAAATCCTTCTAAGCTTTACATCAATAGGCTAATCAACACCATATTGTTCAGCTATTAAATATTTCATATGTTCAGCCTCATTGCAGATTTGTGACTAAATTACTATGAAATCTTTTACAAACTTTACTCCATCTGAAGGAATGAGGTGTTGCAGCCAATAATTATTTAACTCTTTATATTTAATGTCATAAATTAACCGATATGCAAAATTAATTGTGATAGTTGGAAAGTAAAATAAAAAATAAAAGAATCAGAAAATGTAATGATTGAATTATCATGCAATCAAACAAATTTCATGGTCCCAATTCTGCCTCATTCGATTTAGTAGATAAACAATTTCTTGTAAATCTTATATTTATGATGTCAATCATTTAAGGCAGTAAAAGGATTGCTATTCTGAAGTTTATGAGGTTTTTTGAATATTAATCAATAGTTTTTATGAAAAAATTACTACTGAACTACTGAACTAGATTTATTCAACAATTTCTATTAATTGAATTAGGTTTTAAATATAAAAATGGACAACTGTTGGAAATCTAATATGATTTTGTTGATAAATTAGATTAAAATACATGCATGTATAATTAATTTAATAATAATAAATATATATTATAAATATCAATTTATATATTTATTAATATTAAATTTTCATTGGATGAATAAAGTGGAATTAGAATATATATAGTAATTCAATTTGGGGAGGGCGGGATGAAGAAATAATTAATAAATGGATTTTGAATTCCCTCAATTGTTAAACCCAACTGACAACGAACCTTATATTCTAGTTTCTGAGTAGAAGGACGTTTTGAATAGCAAATTATTGACTGCTCGTCATGTTAGTTAAGGAGCTCATTAGGCAGGTGGAAAACCAGAACTAGTTGTAATAAAGGACTTTTTATAGTATTAATTCTTAGTTATCAATTTAGAGACTTAACAAAAAAGTCCCCATTAGCCTATACTCCAGATGCAGAGTCTGAACAACTGGTTCATAATTTTAATTCCTAACATAAAGCCTACTAAAGCAAGGTGCAAGCTTAGGTAGACTCATTTAAACAACTTAATAAAAAATTGCAAGAGGGATATGATCATGCTTGCAACAATGTAGTTTCCCAATTAGTGGAAGGTGTTAAAGGTGAGACCGAAAATGTGTAAAAAGCATTTGAGTCCTTATAAAATGTTCTAAAGAGTGATCCTGAATAGGAGGCTTCAATCCCAAAACCAACAGAAATTGTTAATAAAGTATTATTATTCAAATATTTCAAAGATATCCAACCTAAGAGCAGCTCCGGAATTGCCTGAGTATCTATTTTCGACAACCAAGAAATTGAGAGCTTGGAGAGAGGCTCCAAATGAGTTGTGTGTTTGGAACAAAACCAAGGAACAATTTTATAGAAATAATCTTGAATCAACTCTGAATCAAGATATCCAGGATAGATCTGAATTGGCTCTCAAATTCTGGAACCAATAAATCTAAAGATTGGGAGATTAATTCTTAAATATTTTGTCCGAGGATTCTTCATTGCAATAATAGAATTTCGTTAGCTTAAATATTGAAACAGCAGAGGCCTTTGCCTTATTATTAAATACAATGATAACTCCTGAAACTAGGGTAGTGTTACATATAGGAGATTTCAGTTAAGCTGATTCTAAATCCATTGCTGAGTCAATTTCAAGATTGACAAGTATAGTGAATCTATCAATTAAGTGGAATGTCACTAATAAGGCTTAAGGTTTGTCTCACATAGCCTAAGGTAATAGTGCTAATAATAATTAAAGCTATTGGACAAGCTGAACAATTGAAAGTATTGACTTTTGAATTTTCATCTAATGTGTAAGCCAATTAAGCAAAAGATTTTTTCACTGAATTTAAAGAGGTCAAATTGCCAAACTTGGAAGAGGTCAATGTAGTTGCCGAACAATCAAATATAAACTCAGCAGTATAACACGTTGCAAAGGCATTAAAGTCAGTTGGTGGAGCTCAGGTCTCAAGAGTCTCATTGAATTTCAGGTACTTAATAATCATTCATATTATCTCTAGTTAGTCTCAAGTAGATAATAAATCAGCTTAATAACTTGGTGATGCTTTGAGTTCTTACAAAGGAGTTAAGAGATTATCCTTAAATTTTTCAGGATTTTCATTAAATTCCAATAATATCAAGGATGATGGATTTAGTGGTTTGATTCAACATGTTCCAAATTTCTCATCTACTTTAATTGAATTAAATATCAATGTTGGAAGAAATCAATTGACTGATAGTTCTTTAGCTGCTTTGAATAAGCAATTCTAGAGTGTCAAATGGAGTGCCTTAAAGACTGTGAATATCAGTGTGCATTACAATAAAATAACTGAGGAAGGGGCTAGAAAATTAGGAAAAGTAAAATAGACATAAATCATTTTAGTTGCTTCACGGTCTCCCAATTTTAGTGAATTTGTAATTGAACTTGAACTCAACTGAAATTAATCAAAAGGGATTGAGTTTTATTATTAATTAATTGGGTCCCCAAGTTAGTGCATCAATTCAAGCAAAATAAACTCACGTGACTAAGGAAGAGGCAGCAGAATTGGAAGATAAGATAGCATCATTAAAAATTTGATATGATTAATTAATTGATTGCATTATCAAAGAAATATATATAAGTCTATCACTAATTTGGTTTCTTTTTTAAATTGATTTAAGGAGATTCATTTCTTCTATAAACTTCAACTTCAGGAGAACTGTTTTCTTTTTGTTCTAAAAAGGAACTCTGTTCTTTCCTAGAATGTTTAAAATGATAATTACTTTCTGGTTAAGAGTTCGTCATATTTCTATAGCTTCTCAGAGATAAATGTAAGTTCATGAACGTATTCCTTCATTCTTGTGTTATACAGGTCCTTCATGGCTTCAAAGCACAATTAAGCTTCCTCCACACTTTTAATATCTAATTAAGAAATGCGTTCATTTAAATAGAGTTCTACTTTTTCTGAGATTTCCTTTGGATTCAGAGGTGGCCCATTAGACAGAGGCAACATTTATTATTAGGTTTACAATTTCTTATTGTTTGAGTTGACATTGCCACCTCTTTGAAATTATTCTAATTCTCTTATAAGGACGAGCTTCTCCTATTCCAACCTTTTGACTACTGCTTCTAAATCTACTTTTTCGTTTCTTCTTATCTTTAAATAATAATTAAATCCATTACAATACCTCATTTTCTAATTGGCCAACTCTTTAACTAAACCTTAATGTTGACAAGGTCTCTTCAATGTTATCATTTTCAGAACTAATTGTTGAAATCATGACCGTTTTACAATTGCCTCCCAGAGAATCTTTGAGGAGAGTGGTCATCAATGAATTCCTGTATGGTATATGTTATCTATTGGCACCCTTCATTCTTTCATTTAAGGCTATTATGACTTATTCTAAGTAGGTTAATGAAAGATTGATATATTTAGCTTCGTTAAGGAGGTTGCCTTCCACTTAAGATTTGCTGATTCTCTCCGATCCAGCCAAATCGACTAAGTGCAATTTGCTTACGAAACAGGTTTCACTGGTTGTGTCGCAGCCTTCAAGAGTCACAGTGAATATGCAATGGGATCTTGAACTTGATTGATTCATTGGAGTGGAACTTACTTGTCTAATAAAGTTGCCCATCATGAGTAGATCAATTCCTTCTTGTTCGTTATTGCACTAATGAATTGACAAGTTTTTGAGGTGTATGTTATTTTGATCGTCTTCATATAGTGCAATCTAATAGTCTAACAGAAAGTTAATACTTTGTTCCATTACTCGAGAGGGGTTTCAAGATGTCTCTTTTCTAATAAATCATAGGCATTTTCATTATAAATTTCCATGAAGGAGATGTAGATTTTATATTGGAACTTGGTTCGTTTATCGATTTCATCAAAAATGTAGGAGAGTGCTCTTGGGATGACTCCTCGTAATTGCCAAGTTTCAGCACCACTCATGGTGTATGTCTTACCCGATCCAGTTTAACCATAAGCAAAGATGGTAGCATTATAGCCATCTAGGAAACTAAGTAGGATGTGAATAAGTTCTTTACCTGTTAATGACTGGGATGGTGACAGTGCTGAATACTTATTCTTGAGTAGACTTTTGATCGAACACATGAGTGAAATTGAATTCTAGATTATCTCTGCTATTATTGACTAATCCAAATTTGACATGTCTGGGCAATAGGACTTATAATCGCTTATTATGATACAATTGATATTGCATGGCATTTTAAGATTGACTGCTTAAATTACAATAATTACTTATTGGATGGCTTTAATCTCAAGTATACTTCAAATTGAGATTTCATATGCAGTTAAAGATTATATATATTTTATATATATATATATAAATATTTAAGTATCAACCAGATATTCTCGTTTTAGAGATGACTCTTTTGAGAATGCTCACATCTTTATCTGAAATTTCATAGATCATCTTGATGTTTTATCTGCACAAAAAGCATTCCTTATTCTTCTAGGCCATTTAAATCGCACATTAATAACAGATTCCTCCATGACCACATGTCATGAGGACAGCATTGGGAGGTCTTTCACAACAAATGATGCATTTGGAATCAAATTGCTATTGAGGGTCTTAACATTTTAAAACGATTTTATTATTTGTATTTCGTTCAGTATCAATTTCATTTTAGTTAGTACATTTTAATATAACTACTTCAGGATCTTTGATCTATTTGAAATATGCTGATGAAAATTTCTGTAAGAATATCTGGGTCTTGGTTGGTTCCTTTTTGATCTTCTAATCCTGACATGGAGTGTTGGGTGATGAATCTCGAGATTCCAATTAGTTCAATGACAATACAAACTCTACGATGTCTTTAAACAGATATTTGGAGATTGCACTAAACACCACAATATTAAACGAAATTAGAATGTACATAATGAAATCTCCAATTTTCAGATCCAAGTCAACTTCTAAAATATTGAGAGTGTTGATTATCCAAATCCCAGCTATCAGACTACTTAGGATGCTGGTGTATAAGGTCCATATCAAAGTTTTAACTTGCTTTAATATCAAACATACTTTCACTTTTATAATTGAGAATTTCTTAGCGATTATAAATGCTGAATAGTTTTGAAATGAGGATCAATAGCACTGTAATGGTGGTTCCGACCAAGCCGCTTAGAAACATCCAGTACCACCAGAAGGTTTGTGCCCATGACCAATTCACGTAGGAGTTCAATTTCAAGGTGATACACAGAACGGAGACTATTAAGCAAAAGCGATAAAAGATGAATGTCTAAGTTTATGCGTTTTTCACATACCAATCTAATTATTGTGGAGTGTTCATATTGGTCTTCTGAAGTCTTGTTGCATCCTATGTTAACTATGAAGGATAGGATCAAGAAGGTGTTGCAGAAGATGTAATAGTTTAGACCTAAATAATATATGGTTATGACATAAATCTAAAAGTAGTTGATGGTTAGGTGTTACTTGAAGCAGGATGTGAAATAGATGATCGAATTTCTTTTGTGTCTTTCCTTCAGTGCATTTCAACAGCATCACTAATTCATACAGTATTGTCAATAATAGGGGGAGTGCCATGGGAGCACTTTGATACTGGAATAGAGTGAACAGAAGAACAAATATGTTGTAATAGAGGTATTTGAAACAAAAGCACTTTAAAGTGAATTCCACAACATCTCTTTATAGGTATAAATCATTGTTTACTTTTACATATTTTCACTATTGTTAATTAATTTAAATTATCAAAAACATGAATTAATATGTGCGCATCAAACCTGTGTTTGCAACATTCTATCCAGACCAATGCAGGAATCATTCGAAGGAAAACAGAGTGAGTTCCGGATATGCTCAAAGCAGAATGGAAGAGAAATCATAATCAGTCGATAAATTTAAAAATCAAGTGATCCAATTGCAAACTCAACAGAACGATTTGAATGAGCACATGCAAATGCAAATAGGCAAACTCATGGAGAGGATGAATAATGCAGAACAACATATTGCAAGGATCTATGAGAGTGGATGGATGGATGCCATCAATATAGTTTAAGAGGACATGCACAAGTTGCAACTTCAACTCCAGAGTGTCTAATAAATGATCGTTGTTGAGGAAGAGAAGTCACAACAATTCTACCTAGAACAAATCAATCAAATGAAATACACAGTATTAGATTAAATTAATAGTATGGATTCAGAAATCAACGTCAAGATGGAAGATCTAAGAATTAAGTTGGAGGAATACAACCAAGAATTTAAATTAAAATTGGTTGAAAACAACGACATAGACAAATACCAACGATTTAATGAAGAAATGTCAATATATCTAAAAAATAACAATAACTAAAATCTCACTCTCTCACCAAAATACAAAAGCAGATCATAAAAACTATCCTTACCCTAAATAAACGAATTGGATGATTCCTAATAACTTCAATCCTTTTAATTTTTGCAGTCTCAATCCCTCCAATATTAATTAGACAACGAAGGATACCTGTTACTAAATGGAGAATATATATACGATAGTGTGGGAAATAAACAATAGTTGTCAAATGATTAAATAAAATATCTAAATTTAATACCAAAATGATGCATGTTAAATATATTCATATCTTTTATGAACTCATCTTTTATAGACTCCCACCCTCTACTTTACTCCTTTAACTAGTATGCAAACGCATTGTTGACTTCCTCCTTAATCTACTTGTCAGCGTATCATCCATCTTTTCTGTCTTGACCTCATCCTCCCTGAAAATATGAATCTTTTGACAGATGCTCTCGGGTATAAATTTAAATAGCAATGAAAAAACTATTCCAAATACTCCAAATCCGAAACACAGTATATGCTAAGACAGAGTCAGATGGGACACCTTCACATATCTCCCACCATATTGAATTAGTAAGATCTAAACTATAACTGTAATTGTTTAAACGATCCAAAACAATGGATTATTACAAAAATTTGAAAAGGGGTTTTTTGTATGATAATCTAATTGTCTACATGAAATCGAATTGAACACTTGCATCAAAACAAACGCTTAGAAAAAGATGCTCATTTGCACTACATTTGAAGGATACTTATATATAAATCAACTATTTTACTTTCTAACCAACAAGTTCTGGTGGCAAAGAACAATCTATGTAATGTGGTAACAAGAATAGAATAAAGGAGAGAATAGTTATCTAATAGAAACTAGCTCCAACGATCGTTCTGTACATAGTTGGGGAAACTATTTGATCTGTTCTCTTATATGGTAATCTTGACAAAACTGTGATTGATGGAGGTTCGGTAGCCAAAGCCAAGGATGCAAAGGTGTCCATAATTAAGTTGACCCATAGCATCTCAATTGCATTTAAGGGAGATTGCTTTAATATCACAGCGCCTGTAAAAGACATGAAGAGTGCCACCAAATTGACAGTTAATTAAAATTAAATAAACTTCCTTATGCAATCATAGATGTTCCTACCCCATATCATAGCTAATCACATTCATGAATAAATATACCTGTAAGAATTGAGTTGAAGTTATCATCAATAAGGATGATATCTGCAGCATCCTTGGCAACATCAGATCCAGTAATTCCCATAGCAAACCCTACATCTGCCTTCTTTAAAGCAGGGGCATCATTAGTACCATCTCCTGTGACAGCCACAACATTGCCTTCCTCAATTAACCCAGTAACTAATAAGTATTTATCTTCCGGAGAAGCTCTGGCCATAACCCTCATTTCTCTGCTTATTTTGGAGAAGATCTGCATATTTTTAATCTTCTTAATTTCCTTACCTTCATCATCCTTAACAGTCATCAACCCTCCAACCAACTCTCTGAACTTCTTGCCCTCAATTACTTCAAATTCCTATTGAGCTCTGCCTTACTCCAAAATGCCGCATTCCTTGGCTATGGATTATGCAGTAATGATATTATCTCCAGTGACCATTCTCACAATCACTCCAGATTGATTGCATAATTTGATTGCATTTGGAACATCTGCTCTAATGGGATCCTTTATACCACAAATAGCAATTAATGTTAAATCCTTATCCAATTCATCTTCTGGAATTTGATGAATATGAGCCTTCATATTAACAGTAGAACCTTTAAAACTTGAACTCTGAGGTTCAAACTCTCTGTAAGCTATGGCTATAGTTCTTAAGCATTGAGAAGCATATTATTCAATTACATTGTGTAAAATATCATCCTTCTTTGTTTTATCAAGCAACACTTCATTTCCACCTTTTGAAACATATTTGAAACATTGTGCCAATATGATTTCTGAAGCTCCTTTTGTAAATATTCTAACAGTCTGATTCTTTTAGTTGAGGACAGCAGTGCTCATCTTCTTTCTTTTGCTACTGAAGGGGATTTGTCTGAGTATCTTGTCATTTTGTCTATAATTGCCATATTTGAATCCAAAGAGATCAGCTAATTCAATCAAAGCACACTCTGTTTTATTTCCAATTTGTATCCATCTGTTACTATTTTTATCTTTGGTTGGATTAGCATTCGAATTATAGCAGATAGACTCAGCCATTATTTCTACGGTTTGTTTTGACATCTAATTATTTTAAGTAAATTGGTCCTTAGTTATGAAATTATTTTCACTCCAAATAGTAGTAACTGACATGATATTTTAAGTCAGTGTCCCTGTTTTATCACTGCAAATATTATTGGCTCCTCCCATAGTTTCACAAGATGCCAGATTCTTCACTAAATTTTATTCATCCTTCATCTTTCCTACTGAATAGGCCAAAGCTATAGTCACTGCAAGTGGCAACCCTTCAGGCACTGCAACCACTATGATAGTTACTCCAATCATAAATGCATCGATGATAAATGAGAGTGATTTCAAGGTCAAGAAATCATGCTTATGTAAGACAAACACATCATAGATTAGATGTCCCATCAATGCTACAAATGTCAAGATGGCTACTAATGTTCCCAATTTACCAATATCTTCAGCCACTCCCTCCAATTTTTGTTGGAGTGGAGTGGGAGGATTATCTTAGTTTAACAATAGTTTCAACTATCCTTAAACTGTATTTTATCCAACCTGCAATACGAGCATGTAACCATTTCCATCTAGACATTTAGTGCCACTAATCAAAAAGGGACTACAATGATGATTGTCTAAGGGTAATTTTGATTATTGAATTATGTCACTAAAGGGTAACTTTTTTATCTCATCAGATTCCCCTGTCATTGCAGATTCATCCACTTTCACTGAAGATCCCTGGATCATCAACCCTTTTGATATTGTTATTGTTCATACCATCCACTGCAAACATGTCTCCAATCCCAAATTAGAGAACATCTCCAACTACTATGTCCTTTATTGAGATCTCCACTATTCCTCCTCTTACTACTTATACTATTCCTTCATCCAATCTTCTGCGCAATTACTAAAATTGTCTTTCTTTTAAATAATTATTACCAGCTGTTATTGAAACTATCAAAAACACAGCAAAAAATATTGTTGCTCTAAATAACTATTAACCATTTTTACATACCCCTCTGTCCATCCAGTTGCCACACCTTCATTTATCATTCCAATTATCGTACTCACAAAAGCTGCCAACAACAAAATTTAAAGCATTGTATCTCCGAAGCACTCCAAAATTAAATCACATAAGGATTCCGACTCCTTCTCAATCGGGTCGTTGTTGCCGTACTTCTCTCTGTTCTCTATCACTTAGGCTTCCGAATCAATCCCTTTCTGTCTTTATTAATCAATTGCGTGTACCAACTAATTGGATTTCAATTGTTTTGCCAAGCCTTGGTCTCCTCCCCATTTCTACACCTTCTGCAGACTGGATCCATCATTTATGGATGCCAACTAGAACAAGTCCTTGAAGTCTTCAACCCCACGCATTTGTTCGTAATCCTGGGAGTCCTACTATTTTGAATATTGGTGTTTCATATAATAATAATAATATATTAACGAATTTTCAAATCACTCATGGACTTATCATAAAAGAATCCTCCAATCCGAGAAGTCAATTCGGAGAGTGCATCCAAGGGATACTCCAGTAATAAGTCTTAATTCCAATCCACGTTCAAATATCAATATCCAATTGAGAGTTAGTATTATCCGATATATTCAAAGAAAAGAATGAGCATGAATAATCAATCAATTCAGAGCAATCTCTCTCCTCCATCCAAGAAGTAAACCCCAGAAATGATAGATCCCAATTCGACGAAGAATCTTAAATGTTCAATTACAACTATGATTAGATCGTCAATCAAAATCAAAGATTAGAAAGTCAAAATATTAGTCTTCAAGCTCCCATCAATCAACAATAGATCGATCTACAAACCATTCAAGACTAAGAACCCATCTAAAAGGGCCCAAGCCCAATCAAACAACAATAACAATAACTCCAGCCATCCCGCTCACAATCGCAAGTATTCTAGCCCTTCCAACCCTATCAACAACAACAAATATCAGCCTCCAAAAGCAGAATAGACAGGTCATTCGATGGAATCTCCGTCTTTACTAATGTCTCCAAATAGCGAACAACCCCTAATAGTCGCAATAAGGCCAATTCCTTTTACTATGATAGAATAGGGAATCAAGTCAGCGAAATTATGCCCCCCATGATTGACAACTACTTAACCTATGTTCTCCTTCAAACAGCATTACCTTTATTAATAGTGTTCATTCTATATGTCATAAATTAGTATGAGTTATCTTTAAATCAAGTTTCTTACAGCGAGCAATCGACCAATTTTGCTACCTACCAGAATAGTATTGCACTTGCAATGGTTTCGGAGCTAAACTATGGTCCTGGGCTCGACAACTCATAGTAATTTAAATCAATAACAAATTAGATGTGGAAATTGGGCTTGATCGTATATCGAAAGTAATTCTTGTGCAGATTGGCCATGGGTTCAAGCAATTTGAAACATAAAGAACCAGTTACAGAATACATTTTCTTGTTTCTGTTCACAATTATCTTTGATTTCATTTTAGTTATCTGGATAGAAAATAATTAAGACTATGTTTACGTGATATTAGTTTATTGCATCGGAGTTGTGGTCTTGTTGAATACATTTAGAGTAAAAGATTGGGATATAGTTTTTAAAAAAGGGGCAGGAGTGTTTTTGTATGACTTTGCTTTGCTCATTCTAATGGTGTTCATTTATTACGCTATTCCTAATGTTGTGGAATCACTCCAAGATCGCTAGGGTAGAATATCGGGAATGTAGAGTTTTTTATACCTTTATCCCTTATTCGATTGGATTATGGAAATATTCATGGATTATATTTACAACTAGACTTAGTTTGCCGAATTGTATATCTATCAACTCCAACTCATTATTCTTGGCATGAAAATAGGGTATTTTTGTAAGAGTTTAATATTAGAATTTTAAATATAGTGGATATTTGGACATTTGAGTTTTGGTACAATATTTTAATGCTTGGCATTATGAGGGCTAACAATTCCTCCATGTTTCTCACTGTGTTTCTTAGAAGATGGGTTTTCTACTTAATTCCTGATTTACAATTCATTACTAAAATGAGTGAAACCAAAAAATCTTTGAAGGGAAAACATGGTGCTTATTTAGAACATCTAATATGGATTGTTTTCTATTACTTTTTCTATTTAACCAATTCGAGTGTGCCCTATGTTGCCAAAAAAACTGTTTTTATTAGCAATTGCAAATTCGACAATGAGATTTGGAACTTTACAAGGGAGTATTATTAGCCAATTGTTATTTGGGGTTTGTTGCTTATTGCTGAGATTGCTGGAATCATGCTGAACAAATAGAAGTATGAAATGTTGTTTTGATTTCTTTTAGAAAATATGATAATATTAAGTATGAGGGTGGTTGTAAATTCAATTTGATAGGAAATGTGTTTATACGATTGTCAGGTTATTACTTTTTTTAGATCGCTGTAATGATCCCATTCCTCTTTAAATCATTAAATGATATTAGTTAAATAAATTAGCATTTGGAAACAAAAGATACAGAATAGTATTGATTTTTATCGTATATATATAAGTGCCCAATTCATTTATTAAAACTAAATATTTATTTAAATAAGAATAAAAGATTAATAAAATATGGATAAAAAAATATCTTCCTGAAAGTGGAAAAGTCATATTAGAATTAGGATACATTTTGAGGGATTTTTATTTAGTATGCAACAATGAATAGTAATATTTGTTTTAAATTTAAGAGAAGTTCTGAGATTCATCTAATGATTGATCAATTCAAGGGGGATTCTCGTTTTAATAGAGTGAGTTTGCGAATTGCACAAAAGGATTTAGTTTACAGTTATTTGAATGTGGAGGAATGAACATTCTGGGAGAGAAATCGTGGTTCATTACTCAAAATAAAAATTTTTATTCTTTTATTAATTAGAATAAAACTAAAAATTATAATTTTTTTATCTGTTATAAAATTTTCAAAAATTTAAATCTCATAATCAAATAAATGGGAAGGGCTGTGTTTCACTTAATAAAAATCAATACCCACACAGAGTACTAACCTTAAATATAGGGAATTATAATTTTTTATTGAAAATTAAAAAAATGATAATTCATGATTATCATCAATGATCCTCTTACCATGCAAAACAATATTTATTATGTTGTATTGGGTAAAAATAGCCACCTCATCGATGCTATATGATCGCTTTTGATTTTTAAAATTCTGTGTTAATATCTAGTATGTGTTTTGAATAAATTTAATGTTATTAACAAAATTTTGTTTATTAGAGCGCCATCGATGCAATAACAAGTTATTAATTCCTTAATTTTCTAGACTCAGGAAAAATGCATTAGACAATTGTTCATTCCAGACTGTGCAAGTAGAAGTGATCAAAAAAGTCAATCTGTATAAGATGACGGCTCTAAAAAAACTTTGTTAAGACTTGCAGGCCAAGAAGTACCGTCTTCAATAGGATTTCTGATGGAAGATTCAAATAGACAGGATTCCTGTTCACAGCTATAGTTAGATTATAAAGAAAACGATTTCTAATAATAGAGTATTAACAAAAAGAAAGGTAAAAAATTTGCCATATTTTATTATTATTTCTTTAGAAAGAAAACAACATCACAGCCTCAAATATTTAAGTTACTAGGTTCACAGACTTGTCGGATCACAAAGAGAAACCACCTATAAACAGATGGCAGATTTGCTTGCTTCAGAAATAAGTAAATCAAGTTTATCTGTAAATATAATAATTAAATTTTTATATTTTCTAGTCAGAAAGTAAAAACCTCAAACGCAGAGTTTATGATTCCATTAATGTAATGGTAGCTCTAGGAGTCTTAGAAAAGCAGAAAAAGATCATCACAAAAGGACCGATGTTTCAATAGAATCATATGACAAGTAGATACGCCAGAGATACCAGAGACAGATATGAAATGTAGAGAGTACATCTTATCAATAAGCATTAGCAATAACAATTTGATGAACTCAAGAGAAAGAAGATCTTATTTTAAAAATTGACCGATTAGGCAAAAAGAATAAATGCCTTAATCGATCAAAACAAGTATCATACTTAAACAATATTCACATTAGACCTCTCTAAAAAGACGAGTCAGACTTCCTACAAGGTCAATAACTTAAAATATATCAATTCCCGATCATGATATTTAAGTTACCTTAAAATGCAAAAGTATTAGAATTTATTATACAATAGCTTAATATCATACCTATAGAAGGGAAATCTTAGGTCTAAATTTTGTCAGATCATGAAATTAAAATTGTTGGGGATTATGATATTTTGCCTTTAATCAAAAGAGTTGAAGTAGCAAAAGATAACATAATTCCTGGACCAATGTTGAATTTATGATAAACTAATAAAGAAAATTTTGCCATCATTTTCTTACTAAAACCGTAATTGTCCTTTTATTAGGACTATTAGCACAACTATATGTTTTTTTTTTTAAATTTTAATTAAGCGGGAAAATTTTATTTTAAAAAAAAGTGCAATAATTATTATTAATCAAACAATCTAAAACTGATGTTACATATTAGGTAGTACTGTAATGATTTCATAACACGAAAGACCTCTTGAATTCCTTTTCTATATATTTAATCTATTTAGCCAAATATAATACAAAAACAACTCCTTTTCATAATAACTTATGTAAAACAGTGATTTCAATAATATTATATGACTAAATTCAATTTTTTAAATACAATCAATTTAATAACAAAATTTCGTTTATAATTTCTTATTATTTTCCAATATAACTTAAAGCATTTAATACATTTCAGGTCTCTCTCAAAGCCTTTAATTTTTATATACTATGAAATTGTAGAGATTTTGTGATATTAATTTTTATATAATAATAACATGTAAAAATAATTTGAAGGATAAAATGATATAGAAGATTACTTCATTGACATTGAACAGGTTTAAAGCAATGTAAATTTTGATAATAAAGTGTATCAGAATATCAATCCATACGACATTAAATGTCCAATTTGTTTAAATGTATATTTGGATCCAATATCATGTGACTCGTGTATGAATCATTTTTGCAAAAGATGCCACTAATAGAAATAAGTAAGTATATAATGATAATAAGAAAGAGTACGAAATGCCCTTTATGCAATCGGCAAGTTGAAACAAGAAAAGCATTTCCTCTATTGAGATAATTGTTGAGTTAGTTAAAAATTAAATGTCATCATTTTGAATAAGGTTAGGAATTAATTCTGATTTTAGGTTGTCGAGAAATAACTGATTATGATTCTTATGATAAGCATGTGAAGTAGTGCGATTTTAGCGAGGAAATTTGTGGATTGATGGATGGTAAATTATAATGTAATGTGGTCAAATTTAAGAAGGATATATAAAGACATAGAATTCACGAATGTAGTTATCGATAATGTGAATGTTATCACTGCCATAAATTTGTAATTTATATATATTAAGAATTCTATTAGTTTAGTAATTTTAAATTATAGACTCATGAGCTCAAATGTGATGAGGCTCTTACCAGATGTCCAAAATGTCATATATCAATTAAAATAAAGGACCAATCTAACCATCTTCTAATATGTGATCAGAACATAGATAATTGCACTCATTGTGGAGGAGAATATTCATTACAACAATTGTTAATACATTAAAATGAATGTCCATTACGACCAATTTGTTGTGTTGGTTGTTCATAAAGGTTTACTCTTAGTGTTTATTACATTCATTAAACAAAATGTCCGAAATTTCCATAAATATGTCCAAATTGTAATAAAAAAATTATCAGGGAACAATTTTAGAATCACACATTCAATGATTGTTTGATTTACATCAAAACTTCGCATGAGAAAGATATATAAAATCTAATTAAAAAGCAATAAATGCTCGAAAATGAATTAACCAAAAATGATAAAATAATAAAGTAAAGAAAAATTGGATTTTAGGTTCTCCAATCGATTTAAAGACCCAGAAATCTTTCTTAATTTAAATAAGACAGGTGCTTTTGTTAAGCATGTAGCAACGAAAAAGAGAGATAGATTTGTTCTATTTAAAAATCCCATTTCAGAACAAAGAAAACAATGGAAATTCAAGTATGTTTATAATCTATAGCTAGATGCAAACAAGTCAAAAGCTCATGGTATGCTGTCGGCATAACAGAATTATCCACTTTGCATTCTCTAAAAAGATATTAAGATATAGGGCATGGATCCTATCTAGTGTCTTCAAATGGAACGATGTATAATAATCACAAAGATGATCAGAATTCAAAAGAAAGTGATTTTTCAATCAATACAAATGATATTATTGTTATAAATGTCGATTTCGAGGCAGGTTTATTGGTAATAATTAATACAACTTAAAATTTATCGCTTGAAATAGAGGCAGATTTTGAAGGAAAAGAATTTTTTGGATGTGCTTGTTTAAGAACTGCAGGAGATGAGATTTAAATAATTTAATGATTTTATATTATAAAATTAAGCTAAATTTTAGTCAGAATAGTTAAAACAATTATAATTTAAATGAAACCATTAAGAAATAACTAAATTGATGTAGGTTCAAAACCAATAACATTCGAGAAAATCTAGAAATAGAATTTTTGATTCTCCCATTTCAGAATCAATATCTTTATCACGAAATCTATCTACTAATTTTACTCCTGTGTAGTATGATGAGAATGAAAAACATTTTATAAAAACATCACAATTTTCTACTAGCACTCCAGTTGATTAATCAATCCAAGAAGCATAATTTTAGTAGCCAATTTAAGCAGAGCTTGGTTTTGCAATATAAAATACTCCTTAATTTTTTAAGCAAAACAAAATTATTAGAAGAGAACTCGGAAAATATATAGATGAAAGTGGGTAATTAAAAATTGATGAGGGATAGTCAGAGGACATTTAATCAAGTGAAGAAAGCCTTAGATCTTTTCCTTAAGGTTTTATTAGTAAATTTGAAAAAAAAGAAAGTATTAAATAGTAGCCTATAGCTACAAATTAATAAGATTACTCATTAAAAATTTCAGATTTAAAGTCAGAACATATTTTAAAAGATACTTCAATACAAGAAAATCAACTAGATAGTAATAATAACTCTTAAAGAATGACACAGAATATTTTTAGTATTTAAAAATCCTAAGGAGATTAGCAGAGCGAACATTCAATAGAATCTGTGAAAAATGAAAACTAAGATTCCTCTATATCTAATGCTTAATTAAGCTAATAATTTAATTAATAATAATCATTTGATTAATCAAATATTAGTTAATGGTCAGTTGAGCAAATCGAAATATTAATTTAAGGAGTTTAAGTTACAAAATATAGTCGCAAAACATTATTTGGTAAAAAGAGAAGGATATTGTAAGTTTCTCCAGATCTAAAGTTATTAATCTTTAGAAATTTAGAACATAAAATTACAAAGACATACTCAATTAACAAAATTACTAAAATGGAGAAAGGAGCAAATACACAAACATTTAGATTGTATAAACCAAAATCCGATACTTTATGGTTATGCTTTTCAATATTTCTTGATGAAAGAACAGTTGATCTAAGTGTAAAAACTTAAGAATAGTTAAGATAAATTTTAGATTGCCTTTATGGATTAATCTAAAAGCATTGAATACCTATATATATATAATTATAATTATATCATGAAAAGTAAATGATATTAAAAAATGTATAAATTTATAAAGTAAATTAAAGTTAAAAATAGGATATTTGAAAGTATTAATATGAATATGCAAAAAATAGAGTTATTTTTACTTCCCATTTAATTGAATTATTCATTAGCAGTAATTAAACTATTGAAATAAATTTTAAAAATCTCAAAGAAATAAAAAAATTAATTTGTAGATTCATTTATTTCATGAGAAAATCTAGACTCAAAATAGAAGAGCTAAATAATATAATCATTTGATGTGTACAAAGAATCTAAAACATTAATATAAAAATATTTATTTAACTTTTATATTACAACTTTTAAGATTATATTTTAAAAAATAGATCAATACAATATATGAATTAATTTAGATTATATAAAAGTAAAATTATTCACATTATTAATTCTTTTTTTAGTTATGAGTTTCTTTTTAAAAATTTATTAATATTAAGAAATTCTAGATTTTTAATGAGTATTTGATCAACTTTATGTAAACCAAAATGATTATCATCAACAAATGCCTTGATTTACGGTTTAATATTTGATATAAAAAGAACAAAGAATTTTTATAATGCATTAATTATCTATTCTAATTTAATAAAAATGATACTCGGCAAATAACAACTTCTCAATTAATAAAATCCTTAATTTCAACACTCAGAAGGAACATGTCTTTGCGGTGTTTGCTTATGTGGAAATTGTTTATGTAAACCATAACCAATAAAACAAACTTACCTTAATAAATTAAAGAGTGTTTATGAAACTGATTTCTAATAAAGATACTCTGTACTACCAAAGGCCAGACCTATTATAATCGAAGAGCCGAAGAGGAGAAGGGCTTTCTCATAAAATTCGGTTTATGATGAGGACTTTACACCAAAATAAATATCTCAAGGCCATGCTGATGAAAAATAGCATTTACCATAATTAAAAATTCCTTTTGCAGGCTGTAATTCATATGCTTTGTAATATCCTAACAAATGTACAGATCCACCTTAATAGCTAAGACCAGTGAATCAAATATAATTACTTCCTGCAAAAATGGACAATATTTCTTAATATTAAAGAGAATATAAATTACGATAAAAATAAAGAGAGCATGAATTCTCAAACTTCTCGAAAATTATGAATAAAAGATTGCACATCAATAGTAAGGACAAATTAGTCTACTCAAATTCGAGCTATTAGGAATAATTTAAGCCAAGATAATCTATCCCTCTAATAAAATTACCGATACAATAATCAAGTTTACCATTTGGAATAAGCAACATAGGAATTAATCCATTTGTGAGTCAATCCAAATTTGAGTTTGCTTCTAAATCTTAGGAATTATGTGAAGCTAATAGAAGAATCCAAGAAATCTGCAGCAAGAGTTGAATATTAAAATTTATTTTTATAAGAAGAATATCATATCATATATTTAAAATAATATAAATAATTATTATTAGGATATCTAAAAATAATAATTACTTCATAAAATAAAGTAATTCAGAAATAAATATGAAAATATTGACTTGCTAACTTAGAATTAATGTAAAAATTTCAGCTGTTAGGCTTGATATAGTAAATTTTGATAATGCAGTTAGAAAACTTTAAGTGTATTTTTAAAAGGATTTGTTAATAAATATTTCTGTATTTTTATAAAAATTAATATAAATTTATTTAACCGCAATATTTCTATTTTATACTACAATGGGATAATTATGACAAAATATTAAAAATTTTTCCATGGTTAGATGATTGAAAATATGGCTAATGTGTGCTCTAGTTTGTTCTTTTGAAAGAATGGCGCAACAATTATTGATTTATAGGATATTTAGGATGGATTTATAAATGGTTACATCAAAAACAATTTAGTGATGATCTAACAGTAAAAAAGTGTTATGATGAGCTGATTATTGAATCAAAATTAGTCTTGCAATATTTAATTTTACACCTACTTTCAAACTGTTATTAAACTATATTTATACTTCAAATTTTTGATATTTTTAATTTAGATATTTTCTGGGGGTATTAAAGGCTCTTTAGATATAATGAATGACTTATTAATTTTATTTCCAAAAAAAAAATTATGTTTATCAGCACCCTATCGACTATGCTATTAATGCTTTTGACCAATTCATCAGAAGGTTAAAAATGAGTAGTATATTTTAGCAATGATGGATGCAACAATGGATTCAACAACCGACGCAGTTATAATTCTTGCTGTTTCTACAGTTTTAGGAAAAGAAAACTCTACTCCTACAGGTTCCATAGTGGGAGGCACAACTTTATACATGAAAGTAATAATATCATATAACAATTATAGGTATAAGGATTGGATTAAACAGCTAGTAACAACGCTGTCTATATTGGAAAGTATCCTTGTATTATTTCCGATAAGGGAGTCAATGGATTGTTCATGAACTGCAAAACAACAAAACCGGATCCAGATGACAATAACTTATCTAACTTAGAAATTGTTGTTAAGGTATCAGGTAAACCAGACTCTGTTTGTACATTTAGTAGTCCATAATGCCATTTCACATACTCTTAATACTATACACCAAAATTATTTTATGTGACTCCAAGATCAAATTATCCAAGAACATTAAGTTATTGGAGAGCGAAGTGGGCTGTATCTAGCTCAGTTGTTTAATTACTAGAAGGACAATTCATGGGAGCAAACAGATGTGACAGATTCACAGTCTAAGATCAGTATCCAGATGAGATCAATTTCTGGGATGATCAAGTAGTATGTCAGGTTTCAGCTGAAATCAAAGCTGGATACTATGATTACACTATTAAATCATAAAGTGGATATCAAAATAATGATGTAGGAGTTAAATAAAAAAGAGTTTACTCTGACAGAACATACGACTCAAAGTATTTATTTAATTTATATTTTTCAGAGTTCTTCCAATAATTACCGAGATTAATACAAATTTTGCATCGCCAGAAGGATAAATTATAGAAATAACTGGATATGGATTTAGTCCAATTCCATCTGAAAACACTGTTAAAATTTCAGGATAATCTGAAACTATTTAAGTGTTATCATCAACCCCAAACACTATCAATGCAAAGATACCAAAATTAACTAATTTACCGACTCTTGCTGATGCTACTGAGAGTTCTGTTTACATATAAGGAAGTGGCTTACATTATACTAGGTGGGATGTTTCAGGATTAAATTTGAATTGTGCTTCCTTCAGAACTTAAATCATTACTAATTAAGCTTAATTAAATAGTAGAATTCAATTTGATGGTATTTATCCAGAACCTGATGTCTAAAATTCATTTGGAGAATATTATGGATAATACTTTAGAGGTTTCTTAAAGGCACCATTCACTGGAAATTATAGATTCTATGTTGCCTCAGATGATTGTGCTTAATTCTATATTTAAACTTCTTAAATTAAAAAACCAGTTAGACCAGATACAGCTTCAGCTGCAAGTGGATGGAATCCATATAAAAACTATTGGTATGAATATTTGAGTTATTCATATAACATCAAAACTATATCTGAACCTGTTGCTTTATAATAAGGAGAATTTTATTATATTGAAGCCTATCATATTAATGGAGGGTCAACTGGACATCTTACACTTTCTATGGAAGTTGAGAGTGCTACTCGAAAATCGAACTCATTAAATAGCGTCTATTAAATTTCAACATCTTACACACCAGTTAAAGAAGTAATTGAAATCACTTTATATAATTCAGCTGGAAATACTATATTAGCAGGTAAGTATTAACTTTAATTCACTTATGGTACTAAGGCTACACCATAAACTACTTTATATTATTCATACACTACTGGAGATATTGTACCAAATGCCAATGCAAATGCTATTAAGAGTGCAATTTAAAATTGTGGAGCTGGTTATTTAGTAACTGTTATAGCCACTAAATTAGATAATACTGGAGCTGCTTTGGATGATACTGCCACAACTTTTGCTGGATATAAATATACTATCACATTTGATTCTCACAGAGGTACCACCAATTATAGAGCACTTCCAAAGTTTGTCTCACCCTCATTTAATGGAGGAACTCCTGTTAAAGATGTTGTGAGAACTTAAGAACCACTTGATCCAATCAGTGGAACTTTCTAACTAACAATGACTATTAATGGAGTTGAAAATTTATTCTAAGTATCTGCTAACGTTTATGATTTACCTTTTGATGCAACATCATAATTGATTGCTGATAATGTTGAAAGAATTACTGGATAAAGACCATTTGTTTGGACCATTGGAAGAGCATAAGACGGATGGAAATGGTTCATTGTTTTAAGATCTAATGTTGATTAACTAACTGACTTTTAAGTTTCAGCAAACGTTCTTGTTTCAGGAAATGGAGATGTAACTGCTGCTGTTACTAAACCAATACCAGATAGTACTAATTTATTATTTGAACCTATCCCCAACGAATTACTATTTACTTATAGTTAACATCCTTAAGTTTAAGTTGAAGTTTAATACCAATTAAAAGAAAACAATGTTGTTGTGGAAACAGAATAAATTTTAGCTGGTTGTTAATAATTAGATGCATGTGATTTCACTTTAAGTGATGAAAAGACTCCAACTTTAACAGCTTACTCTGTTACAGGATCCCAATTATCATTGACTGTAACACAAGGAGCTGATTTAACTATAACTAAGACAGATTTAGATATTTCATTTAGAGGAGCTGATTGTACCAATATCAATTTTTCAACTATTACATCACCTTATTCAATCACTTGTACTTTAGAACAATTGAATTCATAGAATGTTAAGGAAGCTGGAGATAATTAAGTACCAGCTGTACATCATAAAGCTATTGGTTTCTCTAAGGTTGATGCAGGAGTTACTGGAGAAAATGTTGATTTGGTTATAACATCCATTTTACCAGCAACAGGATCACCAGATGGTGGCACAACTATTACTATCACCGGTACAGGATTCCCTAAAAATTTAAATAGAGATTTTACATT